GTACATAATGTAGTTACATACATAGGGTACATAATGTAGTTACATACATAGTGTACATAATGTAGCTACATACATAGGGTATATACTGTAGCTACATACATAGTGTACATAATGTAGCTACATACATAGTGTACATAATGTAGCTACATACATAAACTACATTACATAATGTAGTTACATACATAGGGTACATAATGTAGTTACATACATAGGGTACATAATGTAGCTACATACATAGGGTACATAATGTAGCTACATACTTAAGATACATAATGTAGCAACATACATAGGGTACATCATGTAGCTACATACATAGTGTACATAATGTAGCTACATACATAGGGTATGTACTGTAGCTACATACATAGGGTACATAATGTAGCTACGGAACATTGAAATGGTGTAAAACGTGAGTGATTTCACGCGTGTCCATCCCGGTAAGGGCCGAATGAATCTGCTATATTAAATAGGTTAGTTTTTCGTTTGTCAACAATTACTTTTATATGATGGGTTTTGTGAATTGGTTTCTGGAAAATCTGGCACGGTTCTACAGGTTCGAATTACTTGACAAACCAACGAACTTGCTAGTTTCATCACCAAGGATAAAATATATTATTATTGAAGACCATTCAAAGTGAGTAACAGTGATATATACTTATATAACATTGTAATCAACTAAAACTCTTGTTGTATATATCGATGTAGTCAAGAGCATTTCTATTGACTTATAAATACATCATAATAGTCGGGGAGGAGGGTAAAGTTATTTATGAATACATCTTAGTCGGCAAAGATATTTGTTTATAACTATTCCATGGTAAATCTGAAATTTACATCAAACAAATAAAAAGCTTTTCAATACCGTAGCACATTTTGCAAATTGTTACATTATATCTCATGAGCAATGACTGTTTGTTTAACCCGAAAAATACGAGGACTGCCTTGATCTGTAAGACATTATAATTGTAAGATCCCCAATGTAATAAAGTCTTAGAGAAATCAAAGGTATTTATTGTTGCAAATCTGTATATTTAACATCATATAAGGAAGAAATTATAACTATCAGATGAATACCAAACCCCCAAAAAAATTAAGAAAAAAAGGAAGATAATTATCATTTTACAATAATAAGCGGATCATGTTAGCGATTTCAGATACTGAAAAAGTATATACTAGACCATGTGAGGCAATGTTTAGTTTATTTGACACAGTGTAAAGTTAAAAGCAACACATTTTATAGTTTAAGTAAGTGACACATTGATGATCATTGCAGACAGATATGTTTTTAGCTTACCAAACCATAAGAGTTCAATGTATGTTGTGACTTGGTATGTTCCAATAGATCGTTGCTGATCGACAAACTTTCACGGATATAGCACGAGGTCGGTTCCTTTTGTTGTTGTTTTGTATCTTTATTTACTGTTGAGTACATAGACATTGTCACTTCCATATCAAAACACTGGAAATCCTGTTAAACAATATTTGACCATTTATTTAAATCTTAAATAAAGTTTATTTTTGTTACCTGCCTCAAAATAAATCAAGATAATTAACTGTCAAGCATGATATAAATACACAGGAAATTACATTTGAACTTTTTTCCTGTTCGGACTTCTCAGTTTAGAGAGGTACATGGATTTCATTTAGTTTCCGTTGTACAGAAATGCATATGATGATAAGGTTTTTATGTTTTAAATGATTGAATCAATGAACTGTGACATGTGTCAATCATCAATAAAAACACAAAGCAAATCAATGATCAAGGTATTTAGTCATACTTATCAAAGTGATATTTTTTCTCCGAACTAATATCAATTGTTCACATGATTTGTGATTTGTTGAATGTCCTTTATTTTTAACAACAAATAAATGTTTTGTTATTTCATTTCAAAATGGTGTTAACGGTTTATTTTGTACCTGTACATATAAAGTGTCGTAGCAGGGTTACATTTAAGACGTCGCTAATACCCAATTAATAAATAAAGTCAACAATATGATCGAAGTCAGAAATACGTAAGTGGAACTTTACACAGGGTAAACTGATCACTGTTTAACAAATACGTGTGCAAAATGATAATTGCTTTGATTAAGAGCCATTAAGATTTATATTTAATTGATATGAATGTCATTATTTTTACAACTATTTAATGTATTGTTTCCCAATAATTCTGGGTATTGTAAGGGCTCAGATCTAGACGAAGCTGTAATCAAAAGATACTTAAACAGGACAAAAATATGAACTAAGACATTTTTGTAACGTGCAGTGGCAAACACGTTCAAATATCAGAACTGTGAGTAAAGTCACTCATCATGATACCGACGGGTTTGAAAACAAAATATACAGCGACAACAATTGTTTGTATGAGTATTATTATCCGATGTCTTCAAATGGCAGAACGACGTCCAGAATTAGTAACGATGTGTTGGTGAAAGAGACTTCGTGTTGTTTCGGTAAAAACATAACACAATATCGTATGTAAAGTCAAATGAGTTATAGAAATGTGTGTCACTGTAAATAAAAATGACCATGGTGTCAATTTCATATTCCTCATGTTTTTGTATGTTGTTTTCTACGCCATTCCTCAAGCACGATACTATAAATCGGAGAACATATTCATCAGTATTGATAATACGCAAGATACATTTAAGTTTGCTCAAAGCCACAAACAACCCAAAAGATTTTTTCAAATATTATAGTTTAAACTTCAAAGATGACGAAGTCTACTGGTGATTAATTTGAACTTTAACTATGAAAGTAACTCAAAGACTCTCTGCAACTATGGATTCGAAAAACATGTAAACGGAGCATTGATTTCAATGATGATATTTCGAAACCTTTGTAAATCCTTGTCTAATATTCAGTACGTCTTTGACGCTACGAATTAGATGATAATTCAGGGTTTTGGATCAAAGTTTCTGCCATACTTAACAGGTGCAATCTTGCTTTAGTTAGGAAAAAGATAAATCTGTATTGAGTTTTTGATGCCATAATGATCAAAATAACATTCGTAGCTGACTTTTTGACAGGTTACTTCTTTTGAAAATCGTTTGAGGAAGAGATGTAGTGAGCATTAATGTAACATGTACATGTATTCTTAAGTGAAGATGTTTGTTGTTAAAATAATGACGTCACAGCGTTTTCTGATGCTATCGAACCAGCCAGAGTTTTCTAAGAAAAACGCGGTCTAATAGGTAAAAATTAATTATAAATAACACGTAATTGAAAAAATCCAGGCACCGTGAAAACCCAGGTAATTCCATCTGCATCGACAGACACACGGGACGCTTGACACCACTCATCAGCCAGGAGACAAGATGGCGAAATGGTTTTTGCTGATGGCTGCTGTGTATCTTGGTAAATATTGTTTGTATCTTACTTCTTAGTATGTTATCGACAGGCACGTGAGTCTGGGAGGGGACTCGAAACTAATCCAGATAACAAGACCTTTATTGACATGGACGTGAGTTTAGAAAGGACGCAAGACTGGGAAGGGACGCAAGACTGGTGAGGGACGCGAGACTGAGAGGGGACGCGAGACTGGGG